GACAAAGCCTAATTAAGTGAGACATATTATAAAATAGTTAGAAGGAAAATATCACTTTATATTATCAACCTGAAAGATACAAAGGCAATGAATGTAGTATTTTACTAATTTATCCACTGCTATGATCTTAAGTAAAAACAATTCAGGTTAAGTTATACCTGTTTAGACACTACAAAACACCATTAACTGTATGTAATATTTTAGCCCATACTCGTAGACCTAGTTTTAACATAATCACAGTTTTTATTCTGTCTGGTGAAAAAATGATTAATTCAATACCATATAAGTATAAGAAATAATATTTTACACATTATCTCAGCCCTTATTTTATTTCAACCTAAGGGTTTAATCAGTGATCTAAGTAAAATATACACATTTCTATCTTCACCAGGCTTCTGGTCTAATATATGTAAGCTGTGTTTTGAAGTGTAGTCACCTAAATGACCTTCATTTCAAACATATAACTTTGGTTCCATTCTTCTCTCCCTGAGCCATTTAACTGAAGACTCGATTAAGAAAGAAGAACTAGTCATAATCTCTTTGCTTGGCATCAATATCAAGGTCTGACAATTAAGTTCGTGAACTTGTTGCTACAGTGTTGCTAACCTTTTTTGATACGAGGGATTATTCACTACGAATTTGCACCAACTGGACAAACAGTTAACCAAGTTACTATTTGGAAATGCTGAAAGGCTGTGTGAAAAAGTTAGATGACCTAAACTTTTCACCAACAATTCATGACTCTTGTAGCACGACAATGCACCAGCTCACACGCCACTGTCAGTGAGGGAGTTTTTAGCCAGTAAACAAATAACTGTATTGGAACACCCTCCCTACTCACCTGATCTGGCCTCCAATTACTTCTTTCTTTACCTGAAGATAAAGGAAATATTGAAAAGAAGACATTTTGATGACATTCAGGACATCAAGGGTAATACGACGACAGTTCTGATGGCCATTCCAGAAAAAGAGTTCCAGAATTGCTTTGAAGGGTGGACTAGGTGCTGGCATTGGTGCATAGCTTCCCAAGGGGAGCACTTTGAAGGTTACCATAGTGATATTCAGTAATGAGGTATGTAGCACTTTGTCTAGGATGAGTTCACGAACTAATTGTCTGACCTCGTATAACGAACAATACAATCAAGACCTGGTTGATTTTATCTGAAATTTCCTTAGAAATGTTTATTTACATAAAGGACTTTGAGAATATTTATGAGTCCTTTTTCTGTTATTTCAAATATTTACAAATTTATTGCATCATTTCCTTGAGTACTTTAAAAACATTAGCACCCAACTGTTCCAATCTCCTCATTCTTAGCTTTTGATAGCGTTAATTCTTCTACATCATTCTGAATATTTTACATGGTCTTTGTTTTGTTTTACCTATTAATGTTTTATTTTCCACTGTACTTTATAATCTCTGCTTCTGGGCCTTTGTAACTCAGAAATTTTGTTATTTCATGGAAAGTGGACTCTAGAGCAAATCTGTCAGCTCTTACACAGAAAACAAAACATTTTAAAGAAAATTTGAAAAGTTATAAAATACTAAGGCAATACAGTGGAATATCATGTACAGTAAATAAGAACAAAAACAGTTACGTGCACTGATATAAAATAATATTCAAGATATAGTGTTATGTGCAAGCTATAAAACAAAATGTATCATGTTTTCAACTGTATATAAAGATACTATACATATATGTTATATATGCATATATATATATATATATATATATATATATAAAGAAAATTTTCTGGAATCATGTACGAAAAACTGTTATCTACCATTATCTCTCTGTCTCCTAGGAAAGCGTAAGGGCTAGGCAAGGAAGACTTTAGCTTTCATATTATTCTCATCTGTCTTATATTATTTATACTTTTCAACCAATCTTTTGTAAGAAAAATAACTTTAGCAAAAATCTCAAAATCTCTATAAACTTAGATCCAGAAATTACACTTCTTGCATTTTAGACAAATAAAATAATTATAAATTTGAAGTTACTTTAAATAGGAATATACTAGAGTACTATTAATAATAGTGAAAATAGGAAAAAATATCCAACAATAGGAAAACGATTCATTTATGACAAAACCACAGAATAATAAACAGACATTAAACATATTCATAAAGATTACATAATAACATTAAAAATGCTTCTGACATAAAGTTAAGAATAAAAAGCAGAATACATTTTATAAAAATATGATAATATAACTTTGTAGATTCTAAGTTTGGGCATAAAAAGCCCGACCAAATGTTGAAAGTGATTTGTTTCGTGTGATAAATTTATGGGTATTTTTCTAAAACGACTTTTCTCTAAAACTGCTTTCTAGATGTTATTTCATAAGCTGTTAATGAAAAATAAACATTGATAAAGAGATTCAGTACATATATCAGAGCTTAAGAAGGATAAAACATCATAAACCTTACCCTCAAGTCTCGACCCCACATTAGTAAAAAGATAATAACAAAATGTTTTAAAATTACAAATGTTATCAAGTGAAGATCATAGGGTTCCCATAATATTTGAGAAAAAAAAATAAATGTACATACTTTCTAATTCACAAATTCTAGGAGAAAAAAAAATAGTCTCTTCCAAGTGACATAATGCTAACCCAGTGTTTCTGCTATTCTATCCACCACCAAATTACAGCCTACATATGTGCATGTTACTTTGCACAGAAGATGTGTACTTATATAAATCCAGGTGAACAATCTAGTTTACTGAAGTGGAAATAAAATAAATAATAATATCAATGTTACTATTGAACCTTAACACCTCTACCTTTTTTAAACAGCAGCTTGCCAAATTGTGCAAATTTTCTAGGTTATATACTATATGTACCAGAATTGAACAATGAAACCTAAGATCAAAGATTTTGAATAATTTTATAAAAGGGTGTTAAATGTATTTTAACAAGAATCTTAGCTCATATCCTTCCAAAAATGTTGGGGATCTTTGCATTATAATCCTAGGGCAGAGTTAGGCAAACTTTCTCTGCAAAAGTCCAGGGAGTGAATTCTTAGGGCTTTGCAATCCACAGGGTCCCTGTTAAAACCACTTAACTCTGCTCTTATAGGGTAAAAGCAGCCACAGATAATACGTAAATGAATGAACATGGCTCATTTTCAATAAAACTTTATTTTTCTAACAATGAAATTTGAATTTCGTGAAATTGTCACATATACCATATATTATTCTTCTTTTGATTTTTCCAACCATTAAATATATATATACACACATATATATGTGTGTGTATACATATACATATACATATACATATACATATACATATACATATACATATACATATACATATATATATATATATTCTTAGTGTATAGGCAATACAAAAAGAAAAGGTGGTAGGCCAGATTTGGCTTGTGGGCTAAAGTTTGTCAAACTATGAGTTCTAGAGTTATTTTTTAACTTATTTGAAGGTTGTATCCCTTGCTATATCCCACTATCTGGAATATTTTTATCCTCCTCCATTCCACCTTTAAAATCTGATCTAACTTTCAAAGCCTTCCTCAAACAAATCCTTCAAGAAAACTTTCAAGGTGTTCTTAACCAAATGAAACTTCTCTTTCTTTGAAACTCTATAGCATCTGTGTCTTTTCTGGTTGTTCATATCACTAACTGGCCTTTGCGCAGTTATTAATGTACCTATCCTCCCTTTTACCTTTCATGGGAGGAACCCACTCTTATACATTTCTTATTGACCTTACTGCCCTGTACATATAGAAGGTTAATAATAATGGTTGAATTGAAGGATAACTATTCATCATCCTCAATTCCTACATGAGGGCCCAGTGGTTTAATAACAGCTTTTCAAATTCTAAAAAAAAAAAAAAAATGTTATAGACATTAAAAGTATTCATAGCTTTTAAAACACAGATGGATTTTAGTAATAGCTAAATGTGAAAACAAATTTTATCTTGGAATTAAGGAGAATGCCCACCTTGTAGGTGGGGGAAACAGACGAGAGAGAGCAGGAAAAGGATTGAGATACAAGTTACAGGGCCCAGGGTGCTACATGAGAGCCAAATGTCTGGCAGGCACAATCCGACTGTTCACAGGACACAACTTAGTCCTTTAACTGTCCTCCTAAAGTAGGGAAAGGTATCAGACCTTTCATATGACTCACGTACTAGGACCTGCTTATCCTGAGATGTTCCTCCCTCTTCCCATGTCAAATGGAACTGTCCTACACACCCAGAAACCTCCTGGATGGGGGAGTTTCTCAGCTTCAGAAAACTAAAAATAAAGTTTAGAGTTGTCTATTAAATTTTCATATTTTTATCTAAATCTAAATTCCCATTGCACAGATAAAATTGGACATTTTTAGAAACTGGAACCACTCTGCCTGAATTCAAATTATAAGAATGCTTATTAGCTGTATAATCCTTACCAATTTACTTAACCTCTCCAAGACACAATTTTGTCATCTGTAAAAAGAAGATAATGATAAAAGAACCAACTCATGAGAATAATGAGCTATTGTGAGGCTCAGATGAGTTAATATATGTTTAGAAGTAGTAAACACCTATCAATGTTAGCCATATATATATATATATATATATATATATATATATATATATANACACATACACATACACACACACACACACACACATATAGCTAAGAACAAATAACATTGCTGGTATTAAATAACTTCTAAAAAGCCACACACACCCTTGCCTTCAAGGCATCTATCGTGTTTTATTTGATTCTTGAGATAGAATTACCATAGGAAGAAATTTACAAAGTATAGGAAACAGGCTGTGTAAGAATTATCAAGTAATTTTTAAAATGCAATAGAAGGAAAACAGCAAGCTGAAAATACATGTACGATTACGTGACAAAGAGAAATAGGAAAAAAATTGAATCCCTCTGGCATTATCACAATAGTATTTCCCAAGCTTTGGCAGAATGCAATGACCAAATCAGCTTCCATGCATGAGGACAATGGCAGGACAACTCAACGGCCATACTTACCACCTTTCTCCACATTACAGGGACCTGCCTTTTTGTCTTTCACCTTAGCAGTGCTTCCTTTCCAAAGCTTACTCTTATAATTTTCCTTTTCTTCCTTGGAAAGCTGTCCCCTGGACTTCTCAGATGTGCCTTTTGCAATCACTTGGGTTCCTTTCTCAGTTTCTTCTTTCAGAACATTCTCCAAGCTTTCATCTGTGGGCAGAGGCGTGGTCTCCACATCTCCCTTTATTATTTCATGGTCTTCAATTTTGATTTTTAAGAAATCCTTAGTTGGAAGGTGGGGTTTTCCTAGCTCATCATTTCCACTCAAATCCTGAGAAGATGAACTTCTGGCGCTTTCATCGGGACTGTTTTCAACATGTGCTTCCCTGTCCCCCAGTGCAGATTCACTGTCACTGCAGCTAGAATATGGGTGACTTCTGGATGAAGATGATGAAGCACTTTTTATATCTACAAATAAAAAAAAATGATGACATCATTGTTTTTCTGTAAAGTAATTGGTTTAGTTGTGGGAATTATGTTAATTAATCATCCTAAAATTGTTCAATATAGTTTAATACATTTGATAGTTTTCCCATATATTCTACATAGTTGTCATGAAAAACAACAAAAAACACAAAAGCCCCCCAAAAAAAAACCAAACTATGTAATCTGTGAGTCTATAGAAGTTTTCAACAGGAAATCACATGTAACTAAAAACAAACTTTGTTTAGTTTTTGAAAGCCATTTTATAGGAAACCCTTTGTAATTATCTAGTATTTTGTTATAGAAGAAATTGAATTATCTTTTACTTGCTCAGCAAGAACACTTATTTCCTTATTGTCTTGGATAGCCACAGTATTCGCTGTGCATAAAATTAAAATTTTTATCTTCTGTAACGCCCACCACACTAGTAACCCTGGTAGCTGTGTATGGTAAGAAGATCTATACATTTGCATAATACCTAAACATGTAATAAATAGTTTAAGATGATGGTTGTGCATGTGTGCATGTAGGAGTTGTTGTTGTCTTATTCTGGGTTCCCCAGAAGCAGATGCTGAGATGAGAATTCACATGCAAGTGATATATTAAGGAAATGCTCCAGGAGAAATTCTTACAAGTGTTAGGGAACAGGGCAGGGAAGGGAAGGAGTCAATTAAGAGAGCTATTTCAAGAAACATCTCAACCTCAGTCTAATCCCATAGGGATCTCTGAAGTCTAAATTATATTAAAAATTTTCCTCCCTTGAGGAAGAGGTTGGGCTTTCATACCCTGCTCCAATTAGACATGGCTACCGGCCACCCTCGGGGGACCTAACTTCCTTGGCACTTCCAGGCTCTTTGTGCCTGAGGGTAGAACAACTCCAGGAGCTCATGGCTATTCTCTGAAGAGTGCAGAAGGGTGCCGAAGGGTGGAGAAGCTGGGGTGGACACAGAGAATCTGTAAAAGACATTCTAGGGGATCTAGAAAGTGCACTTACGTAATAGTATGGATATGCAGTCCAGAGACTTACCATAGCCAAAAATGGTTTAGTACTTACTACCCCAAAAACTTTCAAAAATCTCCAAGAAAATAACATACACACTGAATCTCAATGAGGAAGATGTACAACTGAAAAGTCACAGCATACACTGTTATGGAGCAGGAAATACAAACTTGTTTGTGATGTTTCAACCAATATATCTGTGTTTATAATTGTTTTTTATAGAATATATATTCAAATGAAATATCCTACACTTATATGCTGCTTAGCTTTCTTATGTTCTCTTCTCTGTGTGCTCCTTACTCTTTTTTCTGTTTCTTTTATTTCTGCATGGCAGCTGTACAGATGGCTGTCTTGGCTGATGCAGTTTAAGGGAAGAAATACCTGCCTTTCCTCTTATCCTCTTTCCTTGGTCCCTCCAGCCCCAGCGGCTCTCCATGACAGGTCTTATCATTTCAAGTATAGTCTCAGGGACATATCAGAGTTTCCACAAAGATTCGAGAGACTCTTTTTACTGCTGCGCCACAGCAGTAAAAAACAAACTCTGAAAAGCCTTTAAGCAACAGAAACCCTTAAGTACAATTCCAGTTATTCTTATCTCCCAACTACCTTGACAGGCACCAGATGACCACTGTTTCTCAAAGGAATCACATACTTCAGCCGCTCATTCTTTATTTCCATTTTATGAAATCTGGATATGCTGTCTCTCTGTAGGGAACATAGCAGATCAAGGACCATTGTTCTCTATGTTATTTGTGCTAGTTCAGAAAATGTAGGGACTATGATCTCCCCCTCTCTTCAGCATCTCACATTTATCTATTTATTATGAAAAACAACTCCTGTTTGCTAGTGGTTTGATCAATGCCTTTCATTAATTGCACAATTAGCACAAGGGTAACATAGTGTTACCCTTGTTCTGCAGTTCCAAAAATATTCTTATCAACCCACTTAATATTGTCATGATGATTCTTACTTTTAGCTCTGAAAGTTGTTCACATAATAAAAATATAAGTGCTCCTCTATATTTCTTTAGTAGCTTCTACTAATTGTATTATTTTATTTCACATCACCGAAACACACTCTGGATCAATTTTGAGGCAGTCCTTTAGAGAATGATTGGCCGCGAAGTGGCGAGGGTACATGACCTCCCACGTAAACTTATTTCAGTTTTCAAATTTCTCTCTAAACTAGTCATATAATTTTGTTTCACTCTCATTTCTTATTCTCATTTTCATACAGAGACTGGGGCAAGACATTGCCTACAAAAAAGTTCAAAATGCTTTAGGGCCATGGAATGGGATTTTCAACACAAATTTTATTTATTCTCTTAGAAATAAAGCAAGTTTTTTATAGAAAGGATCTTTTTATAGAAAGGAACTTTCAGGGCACAGATGCAAAATTTTTTATCACTAGGAGGGAAAAAGTAATGTTAGAGGCATATTGGTAATTAACTCCATCTCCCACCCAATTCCATTTGCCTCTCCAGTGTTCCCTGCAGGTGCTGACATTAAAAGAATCTGCTCCTGGTAAAGAAATGATCTGCACCTGTTGCCTGGGTCCTTGACCAAAGCCAGCAAGTCTGGTGCCATGGTTCCATGTCCTAAGCAGAATCTCTGACTTTTCTCTCTCCACATTCAGACAGTCCCTAAATTTTTCAATGCCTTCTCTTTCCATGTCACTGATAACTGTTCCTTCTTCTGCATCACTACTATTTTACACAACATGAGCTTGAGAAAAAAATAATATGTTTTTCTGTAAGACAAAGCTAGGTGTTCCAAGGCTTAACTTGGCTACTTACTAGCTTTGACTTTGGCTATGCTATTTAACTTCTCGAAGCCTCTGTGTTCTTGGCTGTAAAATGGGGATAATTCTACTTGATCTCTATAAATCATTGTAGAAATTACATGACAAAAATATAACCTAATCAAATTATGTAATAATTTCTTTATGACTTTCAGATTTTCTTCCCTCTGTGAAGTCATACATGCTAAGTATATCCTAATAAATTTCTTTCTTATGAAGTTATTCTGTACATTATATTAAGAATAGTAATCACAGTTACCATTTATATATTAAGGAAAAGAAGACAAACCTTGATCATGATTATGTACATGTGTACCAATCACTTAGGTAAGCACTTTATAAGCATCTCATTTGATCTCATGGAATAGTTATTTATCTTATTTTTCTAGATTGTTCTAGATCTTCTAGAACATAAGGCTTAGTGAAGTTAAATAATATTCAATGGCTATTAGCTATAAAGTAGCAAGTTTTATAAAACTTTTGTTTTTTTGATGACCCACTATAGTAAAACCCAGACCCCTCCCCCTGCCAAATGGCCTGCAAACAGAGAGCATCTATTCTCACGGACCCACTATGGCTTCTCTTAGCTAACTTCCCACCGTTAGCACTCCAGGATGTCAAAAGGAAAATACTGCTCTACAAACATCAGAATTCATGGAATTCATAGTCTTCCCTCCCTTTTATATCTCTAGTGGTCCTTCTCATTTTTTTCCACTACTCTAGAACCCAGACAAAGTCCATTTAATACACTCTGAGGCACACAATATGAATACAAAGCAAAAGACAGCTGTCAAAACCTTCCATGGTTTATTTATAATACTAACCATGATGCTATGTGTATGAAAATATATGTAATTTAGTTATTTGTCACTTAATCACAAAAATTAAACACACAAACACACACACACACATACACACACACACACACACACACACACACACACACACCAGTAATCTCCAATGTTTATACTGCCTGCCTATCCAACTTGATATACACCTAAGGGCAACAACCACACACACACTCACAGTCAACATCACTCCTGCACAGCAAATTCAGGATGAACTCTGCTCTCCCTCCTCATAGCCGAGGCTCAGAATGGTCCTTCACCTTCCTACCAACTTACATAGGTTCATTCATTAAATCCATATTGAGCACTTCCTATGTGTCAGGCAATGATCTAGGTATTAAAGATACAATAAAGAAAAAGGTAGGCAGGTCTCTGCTTCCACACTCTAGATCTGCGGTTCTCAATCTGTGGGTCATGACCCCTTTAGGGGTCGAATGACCCTTTCACAGGGGTCGCCTAAGACCATCGGAAAACAAAAAGATATTTACATTATGATTCAGAACAGTAGCAAAATTACAGTTATAGAGTAGCAACGAAAATAATTTTATGGTTGGGGGTCACCACAACATGAGGATCTGTATTAAGGGGTCGCGGCATTAGGAAGGTTGAGAACCGCTGCTCTAGATGGATACTGCTTCCTTTTGCATGAGCACAACAAAGCAACTGCTTTATTAAGTTATTTGTTCATTCTCCTAACAGTGACTCAGGATAGCTCTCTCAGAAGCTGCTGCTATACTGTTTTGAACCAATTATAAGCCCTGACCTTAGTTCTCAATCATTTCCTCACCCCCTAGCATGCACCAGGATTTTATCACAGTTTAAATTCACCATTTCCTCTATTAGTGTCCTGATTTTTAACTATTTTGTTTCTGGTTTACTAGCTTAAAGCCAATACATACACCTCAATTTAAGTGTACAGACTCAAAATACATAAATTCAGTTAAAAATTTAGATCATCCCAATGACAATACCATGTATCCCAACCCAGTGGACCCAGTACTTTTCTGAGCTTTAATATGAATTATGTCTCTTTTTCCCATTCCTTAGGCCAAGGGTTCACAGCAAAATCTGCTTAAATGCTGCTCCAATTTTCTTCTAATTAACCATGACACATCAATTTATATTTATACTGTTAATTGTATTAGTACTTCTGTCTTGATTATACTCAAGTCCATAAAAATTTATTTATATTTTCTATTAGATACTGTGGTTCAGTCAATATGTTCATGTACAAGAACACCAAATTACACAAGTGTTTTGTACTCAATATTGTTGAATGAATGTATGTATGCCTCATGAACGTAGAAGTAGAAATCATTAAATTCCAGCAATGAACAGTAGCTAGTTATTTGTCATATGGGAGAGCATATGTCCTCATACTGAGAATTCATTACTCAATTCATCAATGAGACAAGCATATACATTACTTTGCAAGAATAAATATCTATAGGTAAATGTAGAGATAGCAGGAAGAAAAGAAAAAATGAAGTTCCTCCACATTTACATTTCATTGCACTTTATAAACTTAAAATGAATACTTAAAATACTGAGAATATGATCAACTCATGTGTCACATTGTGCTACCTAAGTCTTCTTACATTTATCCACTAGTCAATCAGCTGTGCATTCCACAAGATTTTACTGGGTACCTGGGCAGTGTCTTTGCGATGTTCAAGGCAGATTCAAAACTGTACAGAGAAATAACTCATGGAAAAGTATTTTATGTGAACTAAAAGATGCTGCTTCACTTAAGTATTCACATGAAAACTATGACTCCCTACAACTGGAAAGTGAATATAGATTGAGGAATTCTTACCATTATGCAAAATGAAAGTTTGGCTAATCGTGCAAAAATCACGCATATAGACTTAGATAAGAAGACCTCCTACAATCTTCCCCTAATCCTCTCTGGCCCAAGAACCAGATAAGTTACTCTGAAGTTTGCAGAGTGGTCTCACAGCACGTGTAATTTCAACACGGAAGGAGCAGACGTCCTTCATCTCTCCAAGCCCGTAGCCAGGAAGAGAAACGAAGAGTGGGATTCTTGCAGTCAGGAAGTCAAGTAAACAGAATATTTGTGTGACTCTGGGATTTTAAAATTCTATGAGGCCTACTTCTTTAATAGACTGGAAAAGAGCACAAGTGAAGTGTTGTGCTTCTTACTAGAAAAAAATATTTGCTTTAATTCTTAAGTCCTTTTCTTTGTATTCTGGGAACAAATTCCCTCTCCCCACCTCCCTCGCCCTCTCACACCTTTCTCATAAGGAGCTACTTAGTCTTTACCTCTTAGTCACAGTCACTATCATCCAAACTGCCCATAAAAGTATGAAAGTATATTCTCAGTGACGTGACACTTTCACCTTAACCTTATAACATTCATCGACCACAATATTTCTTCAACTGGTGAATTAGTGCCTGGGGCTGCCAACACACATGCAGAGAAAAGTAAGCTGTCCTTCTTTTTAAACGATGGGAAGTCTCACACATCATTCCTAAACCAGGGTCTTCACTTCGTCAGCTCCCAGTCCCTGGCACTCTATCACCCACAGGCTGCTCAGCACAGTGTATTCATCAAGGCAGGCCACGCAATTGTTAGCTGGCAGTTTAAATGGGGCCAACTTGTCACGAGAGTGACAGCCTGGGCAATTGTTTGCCCTCTGGGAACAGGTGCGGGCAGGTTCAAATGAAACACATCCAAATACTAACAGCAAGGTTCTTAATCATGTCAATAAAAAGGATGTACTGGTGTCTGGGATTCAGTGGTCACAATCTGCCTCTTACACTTTTAAAGATGAAATGCTGTCTGGCTTTTACATAGAGTGCTCCAAGGACTCCATCATGTCATTATCATTTTTAATACGTGCTAGGCGTTTGCTGGATGAAATCTCTACTTGTGATGTTCCACATGCTAAAAGGCATGTTTTTAAATAACATAAGGTCAGGTTATCAAAATAAAGGGATGGAAAAATAAAAGAGCCTGGAGGTGGAGAAAAGAAAGAGTAATAAAGAATGGGATTTTACATCAAAGTAATGGCAAACTTTTAATGTAAATTCCAAGGATGCAAAGAAGCGCTAAAAGGATGGCTTAATTATCTCATTATTGAAACAACAAAATAAAATTGTTGACCAATTTAATTTTTGGCTTTTAAATTCCCCAACATTTACGGACTCGATTTTATATGTTCTAATAGCTTTTATTTCATACCTATTTAAAATATTCTATATTCTATATCTACATACTGCAGTGATTTCTATACAATGTTTTTCAATGAAATTCCAAGAATAATCACATAGCATAAATATAACTAGATATCATGGCACTAACAAAAGTACCATAGTATTCTTAGTGTTAAAAAAAAAATCAAGTAATTGCTTAATATTTACAAAATACCTTTTAGGTAATCCCCCCTGTGAGGAATAACAAAGACAAGATACAATTCTATCTTTCATCGTGTAATTCATGCATATATTATCAAGTTGTTTAAATAACTTGAGGGGCAAAAATTAACCCACATGAAACAATAAGTGAAAAACGAACTACTGAATGAATGACAGTGTCATAAAAGAGAGAGCTCAGTGAAGGCTGTCGAAGTAGGAAAGTGTCATGATGAAGAGGGGGATGAGCTGGAACTGAGCCAAAGGTCTGGGAGAAGACTGGGAAGTCCATCCAGGGAGGAGAAACATAAACTTGGGCAAAACTAGAAATGTCCATTCTTATTTCCTTTGTTTTAAAATAAAAAAAATAAATAAAAAAAAACAGAGGCTAGAGAATAGGATAAGATGAAGAGCTCACAATAAATGCCCCTAAAATGTATACTTAAGGAAGCATAATCCTTTTATTGGGTGTATTTGTTTTAATTGTAAATAAATGGATATATTCTGATTTGGGGAAACATTTTTTTTTCCAAAGTCAGTCTCTGAAGTTGGGTAATATTTGTGTCTTGGCTCCACCACTTTCCTGGTTGTGTGAATTATTTAATTTCACCATTTCCCAGTTCACTTATTCATAAAATGGAGATAAAAAAGAAAAAGTACCTGCTTGTTTAAGGTTGTTTGAGGTAAATCAAATAATTCATGTAAAATATTTAACACAGTGCTTAGCACAAAATAGAATCTTAATAAACAATACCTATGGAATGTCTTTCCAAACACAAGATTCCAAGTATTTATAAGTAAACAGTATTCATTGTTAAAGCGTACATATTACTGTCAGTTATTCAATAATTACAGGTCTAAACGATTAAAGCTTTTACTCCAAGGAAGATCAAGTGCTGCCTAGATCCTCTGTTTGAACATAAAAAGCTACTCTTTCTTTAAAAAAATCCATTTGATCCCAAGAAAGCAAGGTGCTTGTATAGCACAAAAATAATCCCCAGATGACCACATATTGACAGAATGTACTGAATCTTTATGAAATCAACATTTGACAATCCTGCACCATTACTGAAGACATTAAAAAATTGAGTCCTTTGTGTTTTGAACCAATTATATTTAAATGCAAACACACTTGCTATCCTTTTCCAAGTTCAAGTCACTTGTATGGTTTCTTTTAAAATTTATTCAGGTGACATCACTTTCCATAGAATTCTTTAACTTTCTCTATGCCACACAGGAACATAAACTTAAGTCCAACATTCACATTCAAATTGAGAAAAGAGTTTATATATTAGGCACACCTAGAAACAGAAAATTTTAAGTATTAAGAGAAATTATAGAGAAGACCCAGTTTAAAACTTTACAAAAAAATACTTCAATGCTTGGCTATATTAACCAGTCATGAGTAGTTCTTTCAACTGTAATAAAAATGATAGCAAACCTTGTTTTCAAGTTTACTGACAGTTAACATCATTCTAAATGTTTACATTTTGCTGCCTTCTTTATTTTGACTGTCAGGAAGCTTAGGATTAAATTTGTAGTTCAAGCATAGTCATGATCCCATCTATGGTTACCAGTATAATTGTCTTCTCTTTTACTTTACATAGCTTCTTTATATTATTGCCTTGTATATGTGTGCATGAAATTATGGACAGGTTTGCTGGAATTCTTTCTTGAAGAGAATGGAACTATAAATATTTGCTCTTGTGATTACTTGACTACTTAATTTATTCTTATTTTATATTATCCTAATATAGTCCTTGAATTCAAATATTTTAGATTTTATACAGAAAAAAATTTGAGAGGTGAAAATGAAGAGCAAGTCAAAAAGTCATCATAATGGCCTCATTCTCTAGCCTAAAGCAAATGGGTTCCTTTTTTACTGGACATTATTTTGTTGAATTAGGGTCTTTAGAAAGGTCTTAAAAATCTAAGATACACCTCAGCTGATGAGGGTTTCTTTCTCTACCGGAAAAGCTCTGTATTTTCCCTGTGAACATTCAGAGTTATTTTAGGTTTGAAGATAGTGAGCAGGCCACCTTTGCCAAGAGAGTAAATCCTTCCATAAAACTATTAATATGCCAGCATCTTGTGTTCAAGGTAAGTTGAGAAAAGAACTGAACCTAAGGCAGGAATCTTCAACTTTTCCTTTGAGTACAAGCTACTTTTCATTTTTCCAAAGCCACAAAATGGTGTGTGTGTGTGTGTGTGTGTGTGTGTGTGTGTGTGTGTAAAAGGGAATAGTTTAGGATTAAAAAAAAAAGCAATAATTTTCTAAGTAAACAGAAGATGCATCACTACAAGTTTTACCTGACATCATGTTGTAAAATACTAACAAACTAAGGAAAGAGGAAGGATTAAAGAATGACTCCATAATTTGGATATCTAGCTAAGACTAATGAATCAACAGCCTCTGGTTATGAAATCATGCTCTAAACACTCCCTTGAAAGAAGATTATCTCACTAAATACAAGGAAAAGTAGTGCACGCACTCGTTAAACAGCCTATGTCGTATGATCAGCTAAACAACTTGCCTTCTTTATCCTCTTCCAATTCACTCTCAGAACATCCATCATCCTCATCTTTCACATTGTCATCAGCATTTGCTACCTTCTGTGACAAGGTTTCACTCTTCTTTCCAGGGTCTAAATGATCTTTTTCATCGTCTGAGGGTGACTTTAACATTCCATTCACTTGATCATCAGCCTGTCCTTCTTCATTAGCGTTCTCATCTTGTTTCTCCTCATCTACTTCAAAATCTTCTTCATATTCTGAGAAAAGAAAATCTCCACTATGAGAATGAAAATAGAATCACGGATACTTAACCCATTTCACTTTAATGAGAACTTTGACTCCATTATCCTCTCTCCTCAGGGTCTTTCTTCGCTTCTTTTTCACACAATTAGTGAACACAGAAAGCTAACAGCAAATGATCAAAGATTGCAATCAGTTACATACACAAGAACACAAAAGAAATGAAGCTCTAAATGACAAGCCTGAAACCTAATAACAGTTCATTTACAAATGGACATCATCATCTATAATAACCAAAATGAACAAGAGAACTTGATAGAAAACAATAAATTAGAAATAAATTAAAAATGAAGAGAACAGGAGTATAATAATGAAAGTTAATTTGGAGATCCAGTGAGGTCATAATTCATGTGAAGAATGTTCAAAATATTTGGATATCAAGTTAATGAATAGTGAAGTGGAAAAATTTAATTAATCAAGTCCAAGGGCCCTGAAAAGTAACACTGTGAAAAGCATTTTTTGAGAATCAAATGGACATCAAGAAAAGGCATTATGAAGGATTCTATACCTAGGCCAGAACTGCAATCGTATGCATTATTCATCCCTACAATGAATGAAATAACTATATTCCAAGGATAAAAATTCTTATAAAATAGAATATTCATGTCACAGCCACTAATTTGTTTCATTCCCTACAGAGGTGCAACAAATCTGTAGCAGAAAAAGAAAATTGCCACATCAGATAAGCTCCAGCTGTCCCTTGTGGTTATAATTTTTCACCTTTCATATTTAATTGTTCCCCTTTTTTCTTCCACCAAAAACTAACAATCTTTAAGTGACAACATGCCAAGGATTGAGAGCAAAAGGATTTCATGCAGAACCAATTAAGCAAATAAACAATCATCTTTAAAATGAAAATTACAGGGAAAATAAAGGTTTCCCTATTTTGTATGTTCTAGTTACTAGATATTCTGGTTTCTTTTCTACTGGTGAGGGCCTCTTGGGTAATTACTTGAGAGCTATCCTCCCTGTCCAATGAAAGAAACTTAATTTAGAAATGCATGCCCTGTGCATATGAAGAAAGCTCTGTTAATGCAGAGAATGTATGAGGGAAATGTACAAAGAAAAGTGAAATCAGAAATTTTAATGAATAAAGGCAAAGAGAATTCATCACAAGAATTTTTTTCATGAGAAAGATTTAATATGAACAAAAAATGCAAATTATCAGTAAATCAAAATTATAAAATAAGCAAGATGATGAAGAATTTGGTTTATATAGCATGAAACAAACAGGAGATATAATAAAAACAAATAAATATTTCGATCCAAATATTTCAGACCAAGTAATAGGATAGTTCTTCACTTGGCCCAGTTATCTGTCAATCAATAAGCCTTTATATGGAAAAGGATCAAATTGCAAGATAAAAGACATTACAATAACACAACCATTGAAATCTCCAGTTTTTGTTGAGAAAATAAGACATCGGTAAGTACACAAGTGATACTGTACTCATAGTATTTTTTATACATGGTTTCAGTAATGTTAGTTTAATGCTACTGGACTCAATTGCTATGTATTTTTATATAGGGCTTGATTAATTATATGAAATAGTGTCAAATGAATGGAATGGATTCAAAAGGGTGGAAAGTGATCGGAGATCATGGAAGACTTCGTAAAAGAAGGTTAGGTTAGCTACAGAATACAAGCACACAGAGAAACACACACACATACCAGTTTACAGATATTTGCTAACAAGCAAGGGGCCAGAGAGACTACAAGTGAATTGCTATAATCCCATCAATAATATTAGATAGTGGGGGAAATGTGAGGGTTCTGAAGTCAGTGATGTGCCCAAGCCCCAGTTTAAACACTCACTAACTGTGCTTCTTCACAAACCGGTGGTGAGTATTAAAAGCAATAGAGTATTAAAAGCAATAGAACATACAGTGCCATGGCCATTGAGTGCCTAATCAATATTACAGATTAGTAGTAATAGTGATTGTGATTGGAGGTGGAAGGAGTTGGTCGTAGAACAGGAGAAATCACACACAGTATGTGCTCTATACTCATTAATGGAGGCACCTGCTTAAAATCAGAGAAGTACAAGTGTCCACAGTTAGGACACAATTACAGCTATATTATTGAAGCAGAGCACAAAATCAAAGGAACATAGAATGAATCACAAGAACAGTCACCGCATCCTATTTTGCAGGAGCTTCCGTGTTTTTCCCCAAAATAAGAGCTTTAAGACTGCCGTGGCTTTATTCTACCCATCACTATTATCACATCTAAATATTAGCCTTCTATTAACGCTACTAGCATTGTAGCTGAAAGCACACCTCCTTTGCGTCATCTACTCGTATGTTTTCAATGTGAAAGAACTGGTGGCATGCTTTCTGGATTCCTTTTCATCGTTTCTTCTTTTTCCCCCTTCTCATCTTCCTTCTTCCAGAGAATTTAATTAGCTTGTTGTTTATCATCCCCACAAATGAGGAAGTGAGTCAACGTGAGGCCAACATCCATCCAGCTGCAGCCCTCCCTCTCTGACCTCCACTCTAGCTTCTTGCTGCCCTTACCATCAGCGGCTGGCTGTTCTGTAGAAAACTGAAGCCTTGTTGCTGCTGTTTCGTTTTCTTTTTTTAATGGAAATGGGTAATTAAAGTCCATTAACTGGCAAACACAGAAGAAAGATCTTGGAAAAGCTGTATTATAGACATAAAGTATGCTACTGATAGCCCTGGTCATGTTGGTTTAAAACAAAATAGATGAAGAAAATGAAAAGCCTCGATTAAAACGTGGCTTTAATAAACCTACACGTTTTGAAAGTTCAAACAAACAAACAAACAATCCCATTTGCTAATCTGTCTGCTATTGCTGTTGCTGTAGCTATCTCAATTCTCAGTCTAGATAATAATAAAGACTAGAAGACATCACCAAGGGAGAGAGGTAACTGGGTCAGCCTTATGAGTGAAATCTTTCTGAAGACAGTCACATTATTTCAGTAAGAAATGAACATAAAATTCACTGCTATACCAGCCCTGTGATTACTCTCTTGGCTTACTGGAACCCTTCAGCAGCAACACGAGGAGGTGCGGAAGACGATACCCAGATGTGCCCTCTTGCTGATGCCAGCCCTTCCACAGATCCTCCCAGCCATGGCTATGCCTCCTCTAATCCAGGCTTTGCCTCCTGGGTGTAAGAGGGACACGGAGGCAACTCCCACTTCTGATTCTATGGATGTGTATTGCCCACAGCCAGCTAACATCAGGGATAGCTTGTACAGAATAGGAAGTTGGACAGTATTTGAAATTCTGGGCTTTGAAATTAGACGAGCCTGAGTGTTGAAGGGTAGCAGAGCATGCCACCCCATATGACACTTAGGAATAGGATTATTTTGATCTAAAGGCAATTGAGGAGGAGTAGATGTAAGAAAAGAACTCGGCCCTCCCCTTACTTGTCTAAAAGCGGGTCATAAATTTGTAAAGGTGTCTCCCCTCCCTTCTCTAGGACAGAAGTTAATCACAGGAGACAACACTAGACCCTGATCATCTCAGATATGGCACCAGAGGAATCAGCATAACAAATCTCAATAAAACTAGCTTTTATCTACTATTGTTCCCCCATGTATTTGCCTTCCCACAATTTGCTGCCCTAGAAGCTCAAAGCCCTTTTCCTTTGTCTTGTCACTTTTCTAAAACTGAATGGTTCTTTTGTTAAGATGCCACATAAACCCAAGTTCTAGCCATCCCTTTGAGTTACTCAGCTCTGAATGTTCCTGTGTGTGTGTTTGGTGCACATGCTAATATCTGGGGGGGTTTCCTCTTGTTAATCTCGTTTGTCAGTCTGATTTACAGGGACTCAGACAACGAGCCTCAGATGGCTAGAGGAAAAAGTTTTCATCTCCTACAGTTTGAATCCTAGTTCTGCTACTTTTTCTCTGTATGTCTGAGCCTCAGTTTCCCAACTCATAAAATAGAGGTGGTTATAATATCTACTACATCGAATGGTGAGAATGAAATTAAACAGTGTGTGGAAAGTGGTGCCTGGCCCTTTTATTATTGTTATTATTACTACTATATTTAAGAGTCAGTGAGTGTGTGTGTGTGTGTGTGTGTGTGTGTGTGTGTGTGT